CTTCCCCTACCCATCCCACCTTCCCTACACCTTTAGCTCCTTTCTTCCCATTCATTTGCCCATTTTCGATTGAAGCATTTATTATTTGGGTGTCAACTGTTCGGTGTTATTTATATACTGTAGATATTCATCTTTTTCAGAGGAAGAGCTGAAAGTATTTTTCCTGTTCTGTATGTGTTATCTTGATTCTGCTCGTTGTTTCCTCTTCTGTGCAGAAGATTTTCAATTTAACATAGTGCCACTCCCTGACTATTAGTATTATTTTTCTTGCTATGGGAATTCTGCTATCATTTTCCACTTAGGAAATATAAAAATACAGTGGTCTGCAACTTCACACAGAAAGGGTCTTCTGAAGTAAACCACCTTGAATTAGCAAGTGTTGGGACTAACTTGAAGAACCGACCCCCTTATGCATGGCTCATGTTAAGGCAAAATGGATTAATTATCATTGGGAACAGTTCTGGTGGTTTTCATAAAGACAGTCATGGAAATAAAATCACAATCCAAAATTCCACTCCTACATATATGATCACAATCTTTTCAGGTACCCAGTAGAGTGTAGTACTTGAGGTACCATTCATAACAGAGTGAGCACCTATAACTTTCATTCGAGTCTCCATCAGTAGCATGGTATCTTCTCACTGGCTCCTGATCAACTGCTTGGATGTTATACATTGCCAAGAAATAAATATAAAGGTATATAGTTCATATTCCTTCAATTCACAGTATTGTTTACTGTTCCTTATTTTCACAGTACTATGAGTAGTAGTCTCCCAGAAATCTTCGGGTCTGTTGTAGGCGATCTCAGCATGAAGAATATCTCTGAAGTTACTGTATTCATACTCACAGGGTTCACAGACAGTCCTGCACTGCAGACCATTCTCTTTTGCTTGTTTCTAGCAATTTACCTTTTCACCCTCCTTGGAAACATAGGACTGATTGCGTTGGTCATTGTGGATTCCCGGCTGCACAACCCAATGTACTATTTTCTCAGTGTGTTGTCTTCTGTGGATTCCGGCTGTTCCTCAGATATCGTCCCAAAAATGTTAGTAGGTTTGGTGACTCAAAATAAAATGATCCCATTCTATGGATGTGTGACACAGTCATTTTTTGCTGTTACTTTGGGGACAACAGAGAGCTTCCTCTTGGCGTCAATGGCGTATGACCGCTACATAGCCATCTACAAGCCCCTGCTGTACACCGTGAGCATGACGCCCAGGGTCTATGTGCCACTCATCATCGCCTCCTATGTTGGGGGGATTCTACACGCTGTTGTACACACAGGGGCCACTTTCAGCCTATCCTTCTGTGGGTCCAATGAAATCAGACACATCTTTTGTGATATCCCTCCTCTCCTCACTATTTCCTGCTCTGACACTCGAATCAATGAGCTTCTCCTCTTCCTCTTTGTGAGCTCCATTGAGGTGGTCACCATCCTGATCGTCCTCATCTCCTATGGCTTCATCCTGTTGGCCATCCTGAGGATGCGTTCTGCTGAAGGGAGGAGGAAAGTGTTCTCCTCCTGTGGCTCTCACCTAGCCGGAGTGTCCATTTATTACGGGACGATCCTCTTCATGTACGTGAGACCGAGTTCCAGCTACGCCTTGGAGCAGGACATGGTGGTGTCCATATTTTACACCACTGTGATTCCCGTGCTGAATCCTGTCATCTACAGTTTGAGGAACAAAGACGTGAAGAGGGCAATGAAAAAAGTTTTCAGGAAATTTTTGTGTAAAGGTAAAATGACTCTTTAACCTCAAGCATTGTATTTTAAAAGTCTGCATCGCATTTATCACAATTTTGTGGATGTGTTAATTCGCAGCTTCATGAGTTCATTAGTTCCTTTTTACTCTTTTGTGCAAGAATTCAACTTAATTCAATTCAATTAGTACATGTTTGAGCACATGATGCTAACATTCATCTTAGGTAGTAGGTACATTAGTTAGCACATCTTTGTTTATTCCTTTTATTCCCTTTTCTCTCCTCACCTACCTTAGTATTATATTCACTTTTAGGTTTTTTTATAGAAGTAAAATGAAATATGACATTTAGTGTTTCTAGAACATGTTAATTCATTGTTTTAAATTTGTTTTTCATAAATAGTCATTGATTTTTTTCTGTTCTCATTATTGAGAATTCTAAAATGAAGATCACAGTCAACCTTCTACAGTACTTTTATATATGTAGAATACTCTGTTCTATTAAATACATGCACACAACATACCTCTGACACACATACATGTTCATACTGATGCTGTTAGTGTGAGAGGGCTGCCATAGAGGCATAGCACACTGTTTATCCTTTCTCTTCCTCTTATTGATTTATTTTTTTGTTGTTGTTTTAATCTCACAGTGTAGTTCAGGCTGGCTTGAAACTCACAACCATCCTCCTGCCTTGGCTTCTCAAGGGCTGAGATTACAGGTGTACCCCACCGTGCCCTGATCAAGGCTGCATATCCCATGGCAGGAACTTATTTTCCCACAGTCCTGGAGTGTGGATGTCCAGAGCCAAGGCGTTCACCACAGTGATTTCTTCTGAGCTTCATCTCTGTGTTTTTTTGACACTTATTCTTTTAATTTCCATGTTCCTGTAGACTTTCCACTGTATGTGTCCATTGTACAAATCCGTATTTCTCATAAGGACATCAGGCACATTCAGTTAAAGCTCGCACAATAGTCTTCATTTTTAAGTAATTGCCTCTTTAAAGCGTATTTTTCTGAATACAGACATGTTCTGAGATACTCAGTTGTTTAGGTTCCAACATGGAAATTCATGCATATGTGCACACAAATATACATATGTGTCTACATACATGTGTCTACCATCACAGAGAAGTATAGATACACTCACTCTTTCTAAATATATCATGCTTTCAGCCCTATAAAAGTTAAATTGTATAATTCTCCACAGTTGTTACACTTGAAATTGTGTATAGTTTACATCTGTCTAGCTTGATGAAATATTGAACAGACATTTCCCAAAGAAGTAATAGAAATAGATTTACATATTTACATGATTACATTTTATTATTATATTATTTATTTATATTCATATAAATATATGAAGAAACTTTCAACATCACTGCCTGACCTGCCCCTGACCTAGACTGGCCAAAGCCATGAGCCAAAGTGCATCCTTGTATCTGAAGTCTCTTTATGGCGAAGGACACAAACTAAGAGTAAATGAAAGAATGAATTCCTAGAAAATATTATGCCATATTTTATATTGCTGCATCATTAACTACAGAGTTTTCTGGGTTACAGGTATAGGAAGATACAAGAAAATGCATAGGATTCATGCTATTTGTGCCAGAAATCAGTGGTAAATCTTTTCTTCCTCTGTTCTTATTCCTCTCTGATAGTTTTTAAGAGTTTCTGTTTATTACAGTTTTTCAGAAAGTTGATTGTGCAGTTATTTTCTTCCTATGTATCCTGCCTATAGTGCTTATTTTAGCTTCTCATATTTCTGGTTTTATACTGGTGTTTAAAAATAGATTAGCCAATATTTCTTCTATTTTTTCTGTCTCAATAGTGTCTTCTCTCCACTTAGATTTGTAATTACTCTTGTTCTAGAGATCATTGTAGAACAGGTTCATTTCTTCTCCAATGTTAGGTGTTCTCTCTTGTTTTATTTTGAGTATTCGCTTGTGAAATGCATAGCTTGGTCATATTTTCCTTTTCCGTAGTATGTAATCTGATATTTTCCTTCAAGAAATATTTGTTTTATCTGTGTTATATTTTACATAGAAAAGTCCCATTTGGCTACATTTCTAAGTTCTTTTCTTTGACTTACAAAGAAAATGGCCTTAGCAAGTAATACAGTATGTTGAAAATACAATTGCTATTCTGAAGTCTTTACCCGCTAATCAGCATCATTTCAGAATCTGTTGTAGTTACAGGCACCATCCCTTGCTACCATCTCGCGTTCCTGTTCCTTCACTTTGCTGGTGTAACTGACTTGATGCTGAATGCTGTGAATCTCTTATCAGTGAGTTGCTGATCTTCTGTCAGTTTGCTGAAAGAATGTCAAATGGTTTATAAAATGATCCACTGGCTCTTTTTCAGTCATATTTCTAAGCCAGATATACAAGCACAGCCTTAGTAGTCTTTCCTTATTCATGATATAATTTACCATAGTTGCTTTCAGTGTTCCTTATGATTTATTTTTGATAGTGTGATTCTAACATCTTTTAAAATTTTGTTTTTGTTTTGAATTCAATCAGAGATCTCTTGATCTTTTTGTTGTAGAGCAAACAGACCTCAAAGACATATTTAGAGTTTTCCACCCAACAGAAACGCAGTACAAGTGCTTCTCAAGTTCTGGGAAATATTCTGTGGCTTACCTCATGTGCCAGGACATGAAACAAGTTTATTATACTTTATCATGTCATATATTAATGTATACAAAATAATGACCACCTTACAACAGAAAGTGAAATATTATTCAGCTCTAATACAGAAGCAGATCTTACCCTTTGTGATAACATGGATGAAATTAGAGAACATTATGTTGAGTGAAATAAAATACAGATTAAAAATAGTGCATGATCCATATAACTCACATTCACAAGGAATAAAAGTCCAATTAATCCATGAATAGATTGAAACAGTGAGCAGCACACGGACTAGCAGAGGGGTGGAGCGATGGATCCAAGGTGCCACAGCAGCCTCAGGTCAGACAGGAAGCACAGACTTCAGTGTACAGACGAGGACTGGAGCTACTCACCTGGATCTCTGTACTGGAAATTTTCTATGAGACTCAATTTCAGGTACTCTTACCACAGAAAGAGAGAACAGAAAAGAAAGCATTGAAGAAAGAAAAACATGAAATGAAAAGCACCCATATCAGATGAGGAATGTCTTAACGTCCTGAAATGGATTAATCACCTCATAATGTATACATATTCCCACAATAACATGTTGAATATCTTGAATACACACAAAAAATAAAGAAATATTATAAAATGGTACTTGTCTGTATCATAGTTTACTATTTTTTATTAGGTAAAAAGCTTGCATCGATACCTGAAGACTCTGTAGAAGGCATTTTTCACCTCTTTGTTCCTAATGCTGTAGATCAAGGGGTTCAGCATGGGGATCACTAATGTGTAAAACACAGAGGCGATTTTATCAGTCTCAAAGGAGTGAGCGGATCCGGGCTGCAGGTACATGAAGAAAAGAGTCCCGTAGAAGACCACCACCACCGTCAGGTGGGAAGCACAGGTGGAGAAAGCCTTCCTCCTTCCCTCTGCAGACTTCATCCGACATAGGGCGAGCAGAATCAGCACATAGGACAGAAGAACAACCAGGAGGGAGGAGATCAAGTTGAACGCTGAGAAGCATATGATCAACAACTGTATTTCCTGCGCATCTGTGCAGAGCATAGGTAACAACAGGACATCATCACAGTAGAAGTGACTGATGACGTTAGGGCCACAGAAGTCCAGTGTAAAAATCTTAGTGGTGAACATCAGAGACAGAAAGCTACTGTACAGGTAGGGAATGCCCACCAGCGCCTGGCAGCATGTCTGGGACATGATGGCGCGGTAGAGCAGAGGGTGGCAGATGGCCACGTAGCGGTCGTAGGCCATGGCTGACAAGACGAAGAATTCACTGATAATGAACAGGAGGAAGAAGGCCAGCTGGGTGGCACAGGCATAATAGGAAATGGTATTTTGATCCACAACAAAATTCACCAGCATCTTGGGACAAATGACAGTGGATTTGCCAAGGTCAATGATAGCCAGATGTCGGATGAAAAAATACATGGGTGTGTGCAGACGGGCGTCCAGCTTGGTCAGAATGATCATGCCCAGGTTGCCCACCACTGTGACTGTGTAGATGGAGAGGAAGATCCCAAACAGGGGAAGCTGTAGCTCCGGCAGCCTTGCGAGTCCCAGCAGAATGAAGTCAGGCGGCCCTGTTAGGTTCTGCAGGTCCACGAATCTGCTGTACATTCTGGGGAAACAGCAGAGGCGTTGTTGCAGACTTTCATAACTGCTATCTAAAAATTTATTATGATATTTGTAACTGAGTGAAAAATATTTGGCACAAGAGGATACTGAAAACTATTATTCCCATATTTGATTTTGAAAATAAAATGAAAAATAGAATATTAAACTTCCCCCCTAAGAGGTATTCTTAAGAATAACATATTCTGGCACATCACAGATTGAACGCTAAATACTATTGTCTAAAATATTTGCAGCATATTCATTCATAACAAAACCATGTCATTATTAATACGGAACATTACATGATTTCATCTTAAAAGTATCACAGATTTTCTTTTGTACACTCACTTTTGTTTAGGATTTCTTATCTAATTTTGGTATTATTAAAGACACAGGCATTAATAACATAAAGCTAGTCAATCTTAAACTTTTGTGTCACTTAATTGCTCTGCCAGATCTCAAGGAAGCTTAAACAGTGTACAGAAGGTCATATGTTTTTGTAAAAGTTCTAAATAAAATATATTTTGACCATGGTCAATTAATTATACGTTCTTGGTCTTGGTTATTTCAACTCCACAACACCTGAACTAATCCAAGGGATCACTGGTGCATTTGTAAGCTTGTGTGGGGTCCAGTGAAGGGGAGCGTTGACCGGACAGCACTTTATCGGAAGTTTAATGTACACATTTATATAGTTCAGAGTCAATAGCATTTATCATTTAATAATAACATCTATTTTGGCACCGAAAAACCTCTTAGAACACTGCTTCTAAACAGTATGCCCAATTCTGTCCGAAATTTTATAAATAAAAATCTTGTGGTTGAATGTTTCATGATGAATTTATCACGGGTGGAGATTTTAAAATTCTTTTACCACTCTGTATAGATTTGCACACTTACATCTCAGCTTGCACAAATAAATTTTTTCAATTTCTTTTCTTTTTATTTTTCAAAACAAAACAAAACAAAACAAAAACCCTTCTTAACACAGGCTTCTTGGCACCAAGTACCAGAGTGTAGATCTATTCCTGCTGAATAATACAAGTATTTTGAAATTTTGATTGTTTAATTTTATTCACTCTACCCTAACATGGTAGAAATAATTTAGTCTAGAAGAATTTACAAAATATTTACTGAGCATATATTAAATCATTTCTGTCTGCCAATTTATTTCTGTATTAGTAGACCACAGCATCATGATTTCAGCTATCTCAGGGACAAAGATTCCTTCCTCACTGAGTCAGTTTCCATGCGTGATTCATCCTTGACTAAATGCCAGCGTTGCCTTGCACAATGACCGAGGACAAAACCCCTGGCACACACCGCAGGGTGCAGCCTGCAGCTTGAGGCCCCCGAGACACTGTGCAGCAGACACCAATTCCCAGACTTTGACATTTTTTGTGTGTGCTTGTTTTGCCCTTCTGACCCAAGAAATGGGGACCAGGAGAGCAGAACTCCTGAGGGCTGATCAGATTCCGTCCCTTTTTCCTGCACGAAGCTGACTAATGTCTCTGTGTTGAATACAGCTGTCCCTTTCTGATTCTTTCTTTGCTCTCAAATTATGCTCTTTTGAAAAACTTACCTTAATTTGGCGGGGTTTCAGGACCTGCTGCCATTGGCCTTACCATACCATTGAAAAGGCACTAAGTTGAGTAAAGGAACTCAGAATTCCATGAGCAACTTGTATTTTGAAAATTTCAAAGATTTTCTTAAGATTTTTTTCTAGTACTTACTAAGTTTATCTATCTTTCAATGTTAACTATTCCCTCCTGAAAATGTCTAGATTATCCTTCCCTTTCCATTTTTCTCATATGTCTGGACAAGTATGACTTTTTGCTGTTATAATTTTCTGAGTGATAATTGAAAAAACTGTATATATCAAAGCTTTACAGTGTAATGACACACACATTTTGAAATGGTTATATCTCTCTATGAATATTATTTAGTCATTAAAAGTAGGTAGCCCTGCCATTTCCAACAAGACGAATACAACTGGTGTACAACATGCTTAACAGAACCAGCCAGATACAGAAAACAAAAATACGGTGTGATCTCACCTACATTTGGTCTCTAAAAGAGTAAAATTCACAGAAGTAGACAGTAGAATAATTTCTGTCAGAATATAAGAGTCAGAAAAGATGGGGGGATATTGGTCTGTTCTTGTGATAAAAGATTGTCTCTGACCTTCTAAGGGTCACAAGACATACACTTAATATCTGCATTTCGATTCTGGCAGATGGAACAGACGACAAAACTTGCAGAGGAGTGACTGAGTTTTCAGACTTAAGCAAGGGTGATATAATTAATTATTGATGTTTTATTCTGTAACTCTTAAAAATCAGTCTATGTACTTCTATGTTCTTCTCCATTTGTCTATTTTATCCACACCCCCAAAATGAAAGAGAAAAACAAATACTGAGCAACACAGTAGGAATAACAATCCTGCAACTTTTGCATGTCACATCCTTAAGTACAAATTATTTGATGGTCATAAAATATTCCCAGTGATACATCTTTATGGGATTTCTACATTTTCACCTTCAAATCTCACAAATAAAGCAATGTCCAGGGTGTTTGTTCAAGTCATTAGATTTCATACCTAAGAAACACCATCCAACTGCAGGGAATCTGGGTTAACACAAGCTGGGTTGAATTTTCACAGCGTTCTTGAAGGAAGCAGCTACGGGTCAGCATCAGAGTGTCTGGGTCAGGGCCAGGAGTCGTGGGATTGTCACAGACCCTGGCGAGGATTTCAACCATGGACAATTCTTACCCTTAAGGAAGAATCAAATTTTCATACCCAATGTTATGCTTAGTGTTTCTTTAGGTAGCATGAATTTATAGTTTTACACTTTATTTGTGATATTCCCCAAGGAAGAAGCACATTATTCACTTGATTACTATGCCTGAACCATCTGAGAGACTTGGAAAATTGTCTTGACATTTCAGCTAATTGACTGCAACACCTACGTATTCCCCAGGGACAAATGTAGAGCCAATGTGAGGAAAGGAGAGAACAGCATACATGATCTCTGCACTGCTGTGCAGACCTGAACAGTTTAGAGATTTCACCCATCAAGTTACACGACATCAACTGTCAAAGCAACAGCGGAAACCTGGCTGTCACCTCATTTCATTGGAACACTCCCCTAGTCATGGTGCAATTACAATATTACTGCACCCTGTGGAGTGGTTTTCTTTTAGATTATCACTCAGATAAAGTACGCAGTGGGCACTGTTAAATCTTATTGTTTCACCCATACTTGTCACACATTATTATTCTCAGATTTAGAAGACGCACAGCACATAATTTACCTGAAGTTGTGCAATTGATCATAGGAGATTGCACTCAGAGCCATGTGAGTGACCTTTGCCTGGTCTCTCGTACTGCAAACCCAGGACAATGATTATCAGGCAGTATGTTACTACAGTGACGACCCAACTGCTGCATTCCCGAGCAGAGTGAGGACTTCTTTAAATAATACCCAGCACCATTTAATGGAAAATAAAGTCCACACTGACTTCCATATGTACACGAATTGAGAAAAGTGTGTATCCCATTGAAAATAGATCTAAATTATGGAAACCAGTGTCTTTAAAATATATTTCATTTATGCTTTCCGCCTAACACCTGCATCAGGTATAAAGCATTTCAACACAAAGGAATAATTAGGATATATGGAACTCTGATTTTCTCTACATGTTTGTTAATATTTGTTATAGAAAGCTTTTTCTAAATTTTAAACAAATATAGGAGGTAGCAAAGTTAGTGTCTCATTGTGATTTTAATTTTTAATTACTTGATAACTAATTATACTTTCCCATGTACTTGGTAATTGATTTGTCATTTTTTATAACATTTGTAAACTTTTTCTCATTTATAAGTGGGTTGCTTTTCTTCTTAATTAATTGTCTTATATTTCAAATGTGTTATAATTAAATATAGTTTTTAAAGATCTTTCTGGAGAAGCTTTACTTTTTTGAGATGCAAAACAGAAGTGTACTATCAATAGAATGACTTCAGATTCTCTAACACCAAGACCTCTACAGACACAAACTATATTTTGATGAGAAGTGAGAAACGCCACCCAACAGAAAAGAAGCAGCGTAGCTGCTGTAACATCTAAGGGCTGCATTCTCCTAAACAGCAACATGGGTTGGGTATCATGGTAAAACCAAAGTAATGTGTTTGCTTCAGAAAAATAAGAAAATGTATCAACAGAGACTGACCCGCCGGGGATTCGGTAGTTACTCCCACTGTGGAAAATCAACGCCTGCGACCTTTTAAGAGCTTGAAGTTACCATAATGGACCCGGTCACAGATGTCAAACAAATGGTCCCAAGAGGCACGAACAGGTTACAGAATCATAAAATATGTTCAACTACTAGGCTCTTGCGTGGGGCGCTGATGAGGACAGAGTGAGGCCCCTGGGTTTGGAAGAGTTGCATTTAAGAATATTTATATGAGGGCTCCCTGTGGCGCGCGCTTGAAGCTAAGGGGATCGCCCTGGAGCTGGTAGGAGAGGATGTAGAGCTGTACGGGGAGTCGCGGCAGCTGCGGGCTGTCTAGGAAGCGTCCTGGGATGCTGACCCCCTCCAGAAGCTGCTGTCCGGAGTGGCCCAGATGAAGGAGCTGGTAGCCAAATTCTTCGAACCCCTGCTACAGCGTGAAGCTAAGGGCCGGGTGACTGCGGATCGAGACGAGACGCTGGACGGTGATGGTGAAGATGATGCAGAAGGTGAAAATAACACTGATGAAGACCTCACCCAAGCTCAATGGACCACTTGCAAAACGGCCAAAACCACCATCTGCTTTCGTGAAATTTAAAAAACTGCTACTTTGTCCTAATTATCACACACTGATATTTATTTATTTCTCATTGAGTTTATTGGTACTTTTTAGGTATACAGTACAGTTACATTCATCACTGGGATCTTGTACCTTTACATGACAGGTCTTGGTTCTCATTTTTTCCCCAAACCCCTGCCCTCCCTTCACCCTCTCCACCCTTCCCTATTTATAAACATGGAGATTGTTCTTAATGGCAGAAGTGGGATACATAATAATTCCCAGGGTCAAGTGAAAGAAGTCAAATGCAAAGTGTACGTAATGTATGATTTCATCTGTAGAAAATTAAAACAAATCTATAATGATGGAAAACAGATGAATAGTTGCCCAGGAACTGGTTGTGGGGACAGAGAGATACAGGAGGAAGGCATTACAGTGGGGCAGGAGTAATCTTCTGGAGAGAATGGGTATGCTCCTTATCTTCATTATGGTGATGGTTTCATAAAGACAGCTGTGTAAGTCGGGTTATAAAATACTGTAACCCTTGTCATTCATTCATTTGCTGAACAGAAGCCACTTACACACTGACATTTCAAGAAGACTTAGGCTCTAATTTGGAATAGCATTTGTGTTTGCCTGAGACAAGTTTGGCAGAGGGAAAGCTTTCTTCTGTTTTAGCAGAGAAAGATACAATAAAACTTTAATAAATAATAATAATAATGAATATTTATATTATCACTTCGAATTGTCCCCATCAGGTAAATAGCTCATATCACGTAGAATTCCAAAACCACTGAAAAGCCTGAAACAAAGAAAAGGGGTTATATTAGGAAACAACACGCAGAGAGGCAGAAACTCAGGATTGGAAATTTTATTCAAATGTGTGAGAAAAACACAAGAACCCACTGCATTTCCCTCTGCTTCCCCTGACCCTATTCCCACGCAGCATGGCTGCTTTCCCTGCATGCCTTTGGTTTACACACTCCAACCTAAAATTGTCCTCTTAGCTATTTTAATGATTGGTCTATCAGGGAAGACAAAGATTACCACTTTTAAGAAAATGAACCAAATTAGAATCATTAAAAGTATTAGGACTATAAAAAAATCATATATGAATACATATGAATGCACTTGTGCTTGCTATTTATTTACTCTGGACAAACAGATCAAATATTGTTTATGTAATTAACCTCATTCATAGGAATTATATCGTGTGTGAAGATTTAGGAAAAATATTGCATACACCCTTCCACGTCTTTCCTAGGGCACATTTCACATCTTTGTTCCTCAAGCTGTAGATCAAGGGATTCAACATGGGGATGACCAGGGTGTAAAATATGGAAGCCACTTTGTCAGTGTCAAAGGAGTGACTGGACTTGGGCTGCACGTACATAAATATCAGGGTCCCGTAGAACACGGTGACCACGGTCAGGTGGGACCCACAGGTGGAGAAGGCCTTGCTCCTGCCCTCTGCAGACTTCATCCGGAGAATGGCTGTAAGGATGAGCAGGTAAGAAAAAAGGATTACGACAAGAGACGAAACCAAATTAAAACCTGCTGAGATCAAAATGATCATCTCAATTTCATATGTATTTGAGCAGAGCAAAGATAACAAGGGGAGACTGTCGCAGAAGTGACTGATGATCTTGTAGCCACAAAATGACAAGGTGAAAATCTTTATGGTGATGAGAAGGGAAACAAGTATACTGTAAAGATAAGGAATTGCCACCAGCATCCAGCACACTTTTTGGGACATGATGACAGTGTAAAGCAGAGGCTTGCAGATGGCCACATAGCGGTCATAGGACATCGCAGACAAAACAAAAAGTTCACAAATGATGAACACAAGAAAGAAAGCAAGTTGTGTGGCACAGCAATAGTAGGAGATTGTATTTTCATCCACAATAAAATTTACCAGCATTTTGGGTCCCACAGCTGTGGAATAGCCAAGGTCAGTGAGAGCCAGGTGTCTGAGGAAAAAGTACGTGGGAGTCTGCAGCCTGGGGTCCACCTGGGTGAGGATGATCATGCCCAGGTTGCCCAGCAGCGAGGTCAGGTAGATGCCGAGGAACAGGAGGAACAGTGGAGCCTGCAGCTCAGAGCGATCTGTGATGCCCATCAGGATGAAGTCATCCATCGTGGTGAGATTGCATTTTTCCATCTTTTATCACAAAGCTTATCGCAGGTAGGCCGAGGAACAGGAGGAACAGTGGAGCCTGCAGCTCAGAGCGATCTGTGATGCCCATCAGGATGAAGTCATCCATCGTGGTGAGATTGCATTTTTCCATCTTTTATCACAAAGCTTATTTGGGATAGAGACATCATCATATACAACAGCTTTCCTGTATTATCTATTACCCGAGAGGCTTCTGAGCCTGCCAAGCCAGTACACATAACGTACTTTCAGATTTCTCACCTTATATCATTTGAATATGAACTCAACTTACAAATGTTGATATTCATAGATGCAGCTAGCAGAGCAGGGTAAACTACTGGCTCTCACTTGGGTTTGATTTTACTCATCACGGAGCATTGTCAGTGCCTAGGGATGTGTTTTTGGTCATAAATGAAAGCTGGCTGATATGGGCACTTAATGATTTGAGCCCAGGAGACTGGCCCAAAATCCTACACTGTAGTCAATACCCAGCCCAATATATTGCATTGCTAAGAAATATTAGTAATACAGATGGATAGATAAATCAAAAAACTTTACAAGGTTGAAAAATGTTAAAACTGTGAGGGTTTTATATATGGATTATAACTGTGCTATTCTTTGGAGTTTTTCTACTATATAACTGCAAGCTCAATGATATGTACAAATTATTAAAATATTGGGATATAACAATTCAGTAATGTAAATCATTCAAAAGAATATAGAATTTCCTCAGGCAAAACAGAAACCTTTGAAGCCCTTATACCAATGAGCTCTGATACCTGCGTGCACGATAGATACCTTAATAAGAACACAGACCCTGTGGTCCTACTTGCATTTATAGGACAAAACACACCAGAATGCATATGCGAGTAGACACCATCAAAACTCCATTTCCATTTGTAGTGTGTACAAAGGGGTGTCTGGATTAATAAAGTAAGTGATTTAAAACTGTTCTCATTTGAGTAATGAGTTTGTCCTTGCAGGTTATTTGTTAGGCAGGGCCTGACAAATGAGGATCAAATGATTCATGTAATTAATCTTTTGTCTGTCTATCATCTATTTTACAAATATTTCTAGCAACTTAAAAAGTCGTTAGCCCCATGCATTTTTAAAGTGAAAAAAGAAGGGCTGGGGGAATGCGGGTAAAACGTTTTGCCAGCTGTTTCTCAGACAAAGGTCTACTATCTAGAATATAAAAAGAACTAAGAAAAAAAGACCCCCCAAATATAAAGACCTAATTCAAAAATGGGCATCTGAAAGGAACAGACATTTTTCAGACAAAGAAGTAAAAGCATCAAGTAAACATGTAAAGAATGTTCAACATCACTAGTCATTCGAGAGATGCAGATGAAAACAACACTGAGATTCCACCTCACCCCAGTAAGAATGACCGCTATCAAGAAATCAACCAATAAGAAATGCTGGTGTGGTTGTGGGGAGATAGGAACCCTTATTCATTGCTGGCGGGAGTGCAGACTGGTGCAACTACTGTAGAAATCAATATGGATATACCTTGAATAACTAGGATTAGAGGTCCAATTTGACCCAGCTATTCCTCTTCTGGATATCTTCTCCAAAGAAAAGAATCATACCACAGCGATATATGCTCACCCATGTTTATTAGCAGCACAGTTTGTAATAGCTAAATCTTGGAAACATCCCAATTGCCCATTAAATGGAGATTGGATGAAGAAGATGTGTGTGTGTGTGTGTGTGTGTGTGTGTGTGTGTGTGTGTGTGTGTTTAATAATGGAGTACTACTCAGCCATAAGGAATGAGAAGCCAGAGATATTTACAGCTAAGAGGATGCACATTGAGGCCATACTCTTAAGTGAAATTAATAAGTCACATATGTGTAAATACCAAATAATTTCTCTGGTGTGAAAAATTAAAAGTGTACATAAAGGTCAAAATGTATATTTGATATTGTGTAATAGAAAGAAAAGGTCTAAAAGAGCACAGGAAGTGGGAGGAGTAGGAAAGGGAAAAGGGAAAAGAAAAAATACGTGAAAAGAAAGAACATGGAAACAAAGGGAGACTGGGAAGGGTGAAGGGGCTGAAGGGAGGGCAGAGGAATGGGGAAAATAAGAACTAAGATATGTCATGTAAGGGTACAAGATCCCAGTGATGAATGTAACTGTACTGTGTACCTACGATGTACCAATAAACATAAAGATCTTTAAAAAGTCAAAAAAAAGGGGGGCAGGAGAGAAGGAAAGACAAGTGATAAGTATTACAATGAAAATTGTTATTACGATATATCCAAGTTATCTATAAGTAAATAAATATCCACTTCAATGCATACACCTTTCCTTATTTGGAAATATGACTAGGGGCATCACATTTTCAGAGAATTATTTACAGAAAATACAGAAATCTAATTTTAGTGTTTTTTGTTTTGTTATATTTTATTTTGTAGTCATGAAAATTTAAGAAACTAAATTATGCATGATAAATATAATTTTTAAAGAATGAAAGCTGAAAATGTTTTGAAGTTTGATGTAAAGAAACAAATTGTTTTCTTTGTGGATCATTCTGATTACTGATTGGTATTACCTTTCAAGTTGTACTTGGAAAAAATCATGTCTAATTTTCATACATTTTGCTGAAAAAGGAAGACTATTTTGAGCATTGTACCAATAATGTAAAACTGAGTGTTTCAAAGTCTCTACCAAATAATTCTGTGCACAATTGGAAGTGAGATATACTCTGCTTTTACTCTTTAAGATGTGAGATGGAATCAGATTTGTAAATTTATTTAATAATCACTAAATTTTACATTCAATCCCTTTTTAAAAGGTCACAGAATCCTATAGCAACTCGATAAGTGCATATTTGGAAAGACAGAATGGGAGACAGAATCCCTGCACTTTTATAATTCTACCAACAGACAAAACAGACGAAAAATAAACATGTTTTTACTTAATATCAATTTTGGCCTCTTTTAGAAATAAAATTATTTGCAAAACTTAAAGATTTTGAAGTAATATTGTGTGACTTTTCAAAGATGTTAATAAGTAGTTTGTCAAACCACATGATAAGATTAAGAGGTAAATATAAGAAAATAAGAGAGGACTTCGTTTATTCTACCATTATTCAATGGTAGAAAGCAAGGAGAATACCGTAAAAGCTTTCTCATATTTTGCTGTGGTTTTACCATGAAATTAAAGTGGAAATTTGTAAATAGCACTGAACGATTATGTGCACCTCTCACTTCTAGAATCTCACAAAATGTTCTGCTGTTTACCTGTAATAAAATCTGTCTTGGCTCTGGTATGTAGTTTTCAGATGGTATAGTGAGAAAAATTTAGGGAGTTTTAAAGGATCTTTTGAGACTCACAGTTCCCTGAGGAAAAGATGAGCAATGTGTTCATTCTCCCTAAAGTACTTGAAAGTTTAACAGGATGTAGGAAGGATGTTCACTAATTGTCAGGGGCAATGTTATGCACAGGTGGGTGTGAATGATCAAGGGTGAGAAAGAGCTTCCATGAGGGAAATGCTCATATGGTTGTGGGGTGGAGAAACAAGACTATCTGATGTAGGAGGCACTTCACACCATCAAAGAGTTAAGTACAGAAACACAAAAAGAGAAAATAAGTAATGAGAAAACTCTGCACTTGTACTCTATACCTTTCAGTATTCTGAACTTCTGATGTCCAATTTAAGTCTTTCTACCTTGCTTGTCTCTTAATATAGTAATGCATTTCTTACTAATTTGATTGTCATTTTGATGTTCATGTGAAAGATGTGAGTGGTTAACACATGCTTAAAATATTAGAACATTCTGAATTTGTCAAAATAGTTTTTATGTCCAGGGAGTGATGTGTCACTTTTTCATTCTGTGACCAACTTGACAAAAACAGCCTGAAGTAGGAACTTGATTCTGGCTCACGTCCTCAGAAGCATCAGTCCATGCTGGCTGGTCCTGACATCATGGCAGCAGAGCATGGTGCGGAAAGCTACAAACTTCATGGTTGTTTTTTATGTTTCCTAGATATTTCTCTAGGCGAGGGAAGCTTTGTTATCTTTTCAATAACTTTCTATCCTTTTAGCATTATCTGGCTCTCTTGAATCTTCATCACCCACATATTGCATTTTCCAGATGTTGTCTCAGATTTCTCATAAACGTTATTCACTTCTGTTCACTTTGTGGTCTTTTCTTCTACTCCAACCGTGTAATTCCAAGCAGTGTATATTCAAGCTTATCAATTCATCCTTCGGTTTTATCTGTCTTGGTCTCCATGCCCCCTTTCAGGTTTTTAATTCTGCCTTATGCATTTTTCAGTTTGAGGGTTTCCTCAAGCTTCCTTTCCTGCTTCCTTCTGTCTGCTGTTCTCCATTTGAGTGTAGAGTGATCTCTTTTGAACTTTACTCCATACACTTAAAGCAGCTGTTTGAAACTATGTGTTGAGAATTTGCTCACAGTTGAGGTCTTGTTTTCTTCAAAGCTCATGCATAGTCTAGTTCAAGACAGAGTCAACCTTTCCTGTAGGATGCAGGAAACCCTGGATGAATTAAGAACTGAATAAATAAATACATAAACAGCTCCAAAATAACATTTTTTTCTTTTTCTAAGTTGATGATCTTTGGCATACAAGTTTCCTTGTATGGACAAAGGAATTTGCTTCTGTGCTTACGTTAGGGATCTGGAGACTCATGTGTTATCTACAGTAGTCAAAAGTAAGCACAAAGGAAAGAAGGGAGACGAAGTACGAAAGGCAGCAGGAGGAGAGGTCAGAGTGATGGAATTTCCAACTAGAAGTTGGCCACAGGCGAAGGCTCTAGACAAACTAGCAGCTGGAGGAGAAGCAGACAGATCTCCCCTTTGAGCTTGGCAAGGGCTCACCCCTGCTGACCCCCAACACAGCCATGAATGACTAAAGGCTGTGACTGTCATGCTCTGGACTGGAGACACCCATCAGAGTGCCACTGTTCTGCTTATTCAGGAGCCAAGTTAAATGTTTACTCATTGTGTTAGGTCTCGTGGCCTCTGGATTTGGTTCATT